GGGGCTTTTTTTTTAACACCTTTATTGTGGTGTGGTTCCTGTACAGTAAACCACACATATTTCAAATGTACAATTTGATGGATTTTGATAGATATACACCAATGAAACTACCACGGCAATCGAGATAGCTAACCTGTCCATCACTCCCCAAGCGGTGCGAATGCCAAATTCTCAGTTTACCCCTTCCCACCCCTTTTACCCCCTGGAAACCATAGCTTTATTCTTTATGTCTGTGAGTCTGTTTTTGTTTTGTGAATAAGTTCGTTTGTGTCCTTTTTTTTAGATTCCACATATAATCAAGACATTTATGAGGGTAAGCAGTGGGGCGTAGTGACAGATCAGATAAGGAGAATGAGAGAGACAGGGACTTCCAGGTTCTAGTGAGTGATTGTGGAAGCTGTGTCTTTTACTGAGTTAGGAAGGGCGAGAGGACCAGATTATTATTGTTGTTGTTTTGGGGTAGGGGGCAAATTTAAGAGTTTCTTCTGACACAGTGAGTTTGAGAGGCCTTAAGACACCCAGTTGGAAATGTCACGTATGTGGTCAGCTGTGCGGCTTCGGAGTTCTAAGGAGTTTGTGCTGGAGAGAAAATTTGAAGGTCTTCAGCAGATAGATGGTGATTTATGTAGGTGAGATTGCATAGGGCAGTGGTTCTCAAAATGTCCCTCCTAGCAGAACATTGATACCACCTGGAAACTTGTTAGAAATGCAGATTCTCAGGCCATGCCCCAGACTTATTTAATCAGAAACTCAGGTGGGGCCCAGTATTCTGTGTTTTAAGGAACTGTCCTGGCAATGCTGATGCACACTGAAGTTTGAGAATGCTTGCTCTAGGGAGAGAATATGGAGTGCGAAGAGTTAAGAATCTGGAATTGAACCTTGGGGAACTCTCACTTTTAAAAATTAGGAGGTGAAGGATGACTTTAGGAAATTAGGAAGGAGTGGTCTTTAGAGAAGTAGAAACAAAATCCAGGAGCAATGAAGAGAATATTCAAAGGAGAAAATTAACTTCTTGCTGACATAGTAAATAAAATGATGCATGCAGAATGTTCCCTGGGCTTAGAATAAGCAAATCCAGAGAGACAGAAAGTACATTAGTGATCGCCAGGGGTGGAGAGGGTCGGGGAGAGAATGAGAAATTACTGCAAATGGGGTTCAGAGTTTCTGGGGTGATAAGAATGGTTTGGAATTAGTGGTATGAATTGTGACTATACTAAAAAATCACATTATGAATATACTAAAAAAAGTCACTGAATTGTACACTTTGGAAAGGCTACAGTGAATTTTATCTCAAAAAAAAAAAGTCCCTTGGGCTTAGCAATATAGAGATCATTGGTGACCTTAGTGAGAAATGTTCATGGCACGGATGAGGGAGAAAACAGAAAGGAGGAGAGTAAGAGGTGAGAGGAGAGAAAACGGAAGCAGGAAATTGAATGATTTTTTCAGTCTTGTTTTAAGAGAAGGCCAAAGTGAAGCTGGTGGTGGAAGGGAGCTGTAGAATCAAGAAAGGTTTGGATTTTTTTTCTTTTAAAGATGGCAGGGACCTGAAAATTTTTCAGTTCTATTGGGAAGGATCTGGGAGAGAGATTTGCAGAGGAAAGAAATCATCAATTGTGTTGAATGATGATGTAATTTCACAGTGGGACGGGATTTTTTGAATTAATAGAGTCTGGTGTTTTCCTAACCTTCCCCTCCATTTATATAACGATGTAGGTGAAACCCATTCTCAGAAGCAATCTCCCCAAATCAAACTTGAACGTCTGGTGTCTTGCTGGTGTCCTGTTGGTGTCCTGCTGCCTTCCAGGCCTAACCGCTTGCTTTCTGATGGTTCTAACTCCAGTGGGTGGTTGAGAAAAATCAACAGGGAGGATTGATTTATAAAATGGGAGATAATACTGCTTTTCTAGAGGAAGAGCTCTCCGGTTCTTAAGTGTACTTTCAATGACTTTAGTCATTTCCTGCATTCTCACTGCTAGAAGACGCCAGTGCTGCCACTTCCTGAGCCTTTTGAGAATTCTCTGGTGTTGGTGGGCTCGATTCTCTGATTTTTCCACTGTCACCTTAGTGTTCAGTTTTCTTGGTCCTCTAATTTATTATCGTTACGTATCTGATTTTCAGCTTTCAGAATTTTATTACTATTGTTTGTTCCCTTATTCTCCCTGACCTTGTTGGAGTCCATGAAAAAAAAAAACTTAAACATCTTTTTACTGGGGTTTTGATAGATACATGAGTTCAATCTGCCACCTTTATATCTTTCTCTTCTATCTCTAGAGAATATGTAACATGTTTTTGTGTCCCTTCGCTTGTATGGTTACTCTCCTTGGACTGTGTAGGAGCCAGGTGCCACCAATAAACCATTTCTCTCTTGCTGAGTTATGGGAGCAGGTTTGGGGAACCTATTTGGCTTCACATGGCTGTCACGAGGATTACATGTATTAATGCATCTAAATTACCCAGCATAGTAGGTGTTCAAAAAAGGTATGTCATCAACTTTCCCCAGTCTGGAGGAGGTGACTTAATTTTATTTTACCCCTTATTATATCTCAGTTTGTGAACTTCCGCCTGTCTTTTTAGCTTGCTGTGACTGCTTTGTGTCCTGATTGTGTCAAATGGTGTGTTAAGTCTCCCTTTACTCTCAGGCCTGCGCATTTGATCACCAGGTCACCAGAGCTCTCTAAAACTAAGTTGCTCTAAAAACTTACAGGCTGAAGCACTCAATTTGTAAAAATTGTGGCTGTGCTGGCACAAGAGATCTGATCATCTCACCTGCTTTGCAGACAGCAGCAAAGACTGGGTCTGGAGCTTTTCTCGTAACTTGTCTATGTGAATTCGTTTAGCTGAGTCTTGGTAGGAAGACACACGTGAGGAAATAAGGAACGCTTCCAATTATTATCATTTCCTTTACTCTTTTTAAATATAGAGAAGCTTTTTCCTAAATTTTTCTTTTCTTTATCAAAGCTATAGTTTTTAAGCTTGAGTCTGTGGAGCGAACTCAGAGAATCAGTGAATTTGGATGATGAGAAAATATGTCTTTATTTTCACTCACCTTGTAACTTATAAATTTACATTCAATTATAAACGTTGGAAAGAAACTATAGTACTATTAGGATGGAAATGACTTTTTCACGATAGAAATTACAGACATTTTTATGTACCATTATACTGGTTGCATATATCTTAAGATTTTTATATTCATTCCTTCTTTAAAATTATAGTTGTTAATCAGACCTGCTACTAGGTCTTATTATATATAGATAAAAAGTGCATTTATGGTATTATAAATTTGTTTTTTATATTTTGATAACTTTGCATTTAATTGCATTAGTCTTCTATTATTTGTATGTATTTCATTTGATGCATTTAAAAACATTATTCTGAGAAAAGGGGTTCACAGCCTTCATCAGATTGCTGAAGGGGTCCACGGCACACCAAAGATTCTGAACCCTTGTCCCAAGGAGACAAGTTTCTAAAAAGGAATGTGTGGTTATTTATATAAACTGGTATTTTGTCTTAGATCCCCAGCTACTCCTTTCTCTGGTTTAGTCCATTAAAATTTGCTTCTTGATATATGGCTTATATTTTTGCAAGATATTTGAAAAGGAGACTATTTTTCACTGACCCATGAGTTCAGATGATATTTTAAAAAAAGCACTCTTGAAATCAGGCTTTAATATCTAGAATAACCCTTCCTTAACAGAGGTTAGCTGAAGTTTCAGAACTTAAACATTTCTGTTAAGCGGCTTTGCTAACTTACTATTTTTAAACTAGGTCATCAGGATGCTAAAACCCAGTGATGTTGATGTTCCATTTCAGTTTGAGGCTCAGCAGCCCTAGGCTGAAGTTACCTCTGATGGTTGTGATACAAGACTCGGTTTTATGTTAATTATGTATTTAAGCCCTTAAGGGTAATTTTCTCCCCATGGGCCATTTTCTGTGCACCGCCCTCCCCTCCCCTGACCTTGGACCGACTTTGTGTAGTGCATTTGACTTTGTGATTGGCAGGTGCCTGACAGTTCCTTCAGGTCAGCAGTGGGGGCTGGGCAGAGCGACTGAAAACCTTGAGGTCAAGTTTCTTGCCTTGGGCACCTCAGAACATCGCTAGTGTTAAAGCCCCAGTGCCAGTTCTTGCTAACTGACCTGAACTTGATACTTGAGTTTTATGTTGCCTAAAGCAGGCCTGCTAAGTTGCTCTGAAAACTTAAATAAAGGATGAAGCACTCAATTTTCGGTGTAGTAGGTCTCCTCTCCTTTGGTAGAACACTTCACGGTGCGTTAGAAGCTCTCCTGGATCCCGAGAGGATTGTTTGGAAGCATGACCACATTTTCCATAGCATTTTTTTGGGGGGTGGGGGTGGGAAATGGCAATTTAGCATTTAATCCATGAAAATAATTGCCAGGTTCTGACCTGCCTACATTGTCCCCCTTAAATTTTTACACTTGTATTTGCTGTGTTCCTGACACGATTGTTCCGCTGTGAATTCCACTCATTTTCATGTACATTTCACTTAATGAAACAGCCACTATTAATAATAAGAAGAACAGTCATAATATTTATCCAGCACTTCCTTTATGCTAGGCACTGTATGAAGGACTTCATAGTTTTTAATGTAATTTGACAACAATACTATGAATGGCAGCTACTGTCAGGAACTTCACTTCACAGATGAGGAAACCAAGACTGAGACCGAGAGGTAAAACAACTCTCGCCGGGGTCTCAGCCAGTACGTGGGAGAGTTGGAATCTGAAGGCAGCCTGACGCCGGAGCTCAGGCTCTTAAATCTCCTTTCTCATGAACTCAGCCTGTTGGATTAGTGCAATTTCAGAAGTGCTTCCGTTAAGCTGTAGGAGTAGTTAACCAGTAGGACCTGATGCGTAACATAAGGTAACCACGTTGACATCTGTGAAGCCAAGCAAGCCTGTCTCCACGGGACTCTGGTGTTTTATCACTTGAGTGTAATAAATGCATGTTGTTAATGTGATGTTGTTTTGTGTGTTCATAGGGATGCTTCCTTTGGAAACTGCACTTACAATCTCACCATCCTCGACTGCTTGCAGGGAATCAGAAAGGTAATAACAGCCTCCTTGCTGTAGCTGACGCGGTAGTTTGACAATGTGAGAGAGGAATGATGTCAGTATCGCTGTTTGTTGTTGGAGAGAAGAGAGCGGAGGCAGTAAGAAGGCAGCTTCCCACTTCTTGACCAATGATTGATCTGTGAAATACAGACCACAGGGCAAATCGGGGGGACTTTTTGGGGGGGTTACCCTTTCTCACATATACTATCTGTGTTACGCTTCTGTCTGCTGTGTGCCTGTGACCTTGCTTTGTCACCTGCTCAGCTTCATTATCAAGCTAGATCTTGGTGTGGGAGAGACAGGAAGTTATCTAAGCCACAGCTTCTCTGTTAGCGTGGAGAACATTTCCACCTGTTTTTCTAATTGGCTAGTATTTCTTGCCCATGAAGCAGTGAGTAGGCCAGATGTTATTATCTCATTTTTACAGATGAGGAAACAACCCTGGAGAGATTAAGTCACTCTCAGGGCCACAGGGAGTTACTGGGAGGGCTCATTCCAACTGGGATTTCCATATCAAGCTGGAGTTCTTTCTAATATTGTGTCTGGGTATGTCATAAATCAGTGGTTGTCAAAGTGTGGGAAGCTGTGGCAGGTGCAAATTCTCAGACCTTATCTGAGACAGACTGAACCATAAATGCTGGGAATGGTGCCCTGCAGTCTGTGTTGGCACAGCCCCTCCAGGTGATTTGATGCACTCTAAGGTTTAGAGTCATAGTTATTTAGTTATTTATAGGTACTATGGAGAAGTTAACCTTAAAGATTTTTGAGAACTTTGGAACATGTGTTAGAAACATTGATTTACATGCGGAGAAGTCACGCATGCTGTACTGTGAATTCTCACGAAGGTTCAAAGTACATCATTCGGTCTCGAGCATAGAGCCATGATTTATCAGTCGGGGATGTAAGTGCACATAACCCACGGGCAGAGGTCATCCTGGACTGTAAATGTAGTATCAGCAGTGAGACTTGTTCCGGTTTCTTTTCTCTGATGTAATATAAAATTGATTTTTTCCTGTTTTTTTAAGTTGAGAAAATTGGTAGGATAAACATGCTTACTTGTTTTATGTGTATGTTTTTGACTTTGATATTTCACTTTAAAATGAACTAAAACTCTGTAAAACTTTAAAATCGTTATTACATGTTTTTGTTTTTGCTTAAAAGCTATCAAGATAATCTAGCCCATCCCCCCTTGCAAATAATATCACCAGCCCACACGTCCAGTAGCATCAGTTAAGAGTCTTTGTGGAAATATGACCAGTATATAATCCACAATTATAGCATTTAAAAATATGACCGAGGGGGGAAAAGTTATTTATTTATTGTTACTGTTAGTGTTATTTTGCCTGTGCTGCCATCTGGAATGGGCTGTTCCTTTTATAACACTTATGAGATTCAAAAGGAGTTTGCTTTGGAATACCCCTACCTGTTATTATGGTAACTGGTAACTTGATGTAGACGTTTATGAAATCCTTCCTGTTGCACTGGAAAGGTGTGACTTTGTTCATGAATAAGGTTTTCTGTAAATTTCTTGTGTCATCAAACGTTGGGGTTTATCTTACCCAAATGTAGATGGGATTTTAGAGGATCTGACAGACTGTTGAACATGTCTTTAAGCAGCTGGGACACATTGCCCCTCTGTACACTCTTACATAAAGCACCGTGTGCTGGGCTGATTTTGTGAACACAAGTACCATATGTGCCAAGAAGGAAGGTTATATATGTGTGAACTACATACACAAACAACACACTTTAAAGAAAGAGGCAGGAAAGTGGTAGTTCAGGGTATATTTTTTCATTATTTTCTCTAGAATGATGCATATGGATGAAGTAAGTTGCTTTGTTTAAAGGTGAAATAATTTAAATAGACTGTTCTGCTTATCCTGTCTAAACCAGTGTTGTCAGAATTTAGTATTTCTAAGAATCACCTAGGAAGACTTGTTAAAAATGATGATCCCACCCACAAAGATTCTGGTTTCCTAGTTCTGGGGAAGGGCCAAGGGAACTGTATTTTAAATATGAATTACCTTCGGCGCAGGTGGTCCGTGTCCTGCATTTTGAAAACATTAGTCTCTAAAGTATTTTCAGAGACAGATGTACTAAACTTGGCTTAATAGTTTCTTCTATTTTTAATGACTTGATTATATAACTTTTAAAAGTAACTGTGGTTTTTGAATTCTAATGGAATCTGTATCGCTTCATGACTTAATAAAAAAAAGACTCTGTCCTCTTCAAAATATTTTATCTGAGCAAGCCAGATTTTTTTTTTTAAAGTTCTGAGTCACTGGTTATAAAAAAGAAAGGAGTATGAAATTTTTCTTTGTGTTGTTAAAAAGATCAGTTCTTCCTTCTAAATTGTAAAAGTAGTCAAGTACATTTTTACTTTGTCAGGAATTATCACCATAAAACAGGTTCTCTCAGCATAAGAGTTTTAGGAACAAATAAGGGCCTATTAAGTAAAAATGCCCTTTTTACTAAATATCTCATTAATGATAAAAGGAGGATAAAACCTAAGAATAATTGATTTTTCTTCTCTTATTTGAAAAGTTAATCGCTATTACATATTCTGCCATAGTTAGGTATGACTTAATCGCATAGTTCCCAGTAAGTTTTATCTATGCATCTGCTAGTGTGTTCCATTTTATATACCTAAATAATTTTACATACAAAAACAAAGATATATTAGAACTCAAGAGGGATATTTTGTGGGACATACTTTCATATTTTTCTAAGTGTTTAGTCCCACTTGTAACACAGTCTCAAAGCAAAATTGCAACTATTAGATGACTTCTAGATATATTACAAATCCAAGGTTTCACCTTCAGATCAGTCAGAATCATTTGTGAGCAGGAATTCCAGGAACAGCTAGACGCCTTTATCAATGCCACATGGAAAAACTAATTCAAATTCTGCTTTCAGGGATTACAGCATGGATTTTTTGACTTTGAGACATTTGATGTGGATGAATATGAACATTATGAGGTTTGTACATTTTAATTCTTTGCAAGATATAATTTCACATTGATTAAATTGTTCTTTTTCTCCCTAGCATTCAGGTGTTGGAAATTGATTGGATGCTAAATAAAACATTCTGCAGTTTTCTATAATTGTTGGTTTCATCCTTTTAGCTTTGGCTATTGCCTTTGAACCCAGAGTCATCAAAATTTTAGTTTAGGAAAATGCCATATATCTCCACATCATCAAACTTTTATTGACAATTACCTTGCACGTTTAGTTTATAAGAAAAAATGATTTAAAAGTATAGGTTGGTAGTGAAATCATGTTACTTCTATTTTAAATTTTAGGTCTTGGTTAAAATAAAGTCAGGTTTGTGCCTTATAATATTTTTGACTGCATATATTTTGTTTTGAAATATGGCTGAATTTACTCAGTTCTAAGTGTTGGCTGAATTTTTTCCCACGGCGTGGTTGCAGAGCTTTCGAGCAAGGTCTTGCCTGCTCAGCGAGGCAGAGTTTGGGCAGAGGCTGTCCAGGCTGCACTGTCTGGAAGGAGGTGTTGCAGAGCACTTCCGGAGTAGTGGAGGAGGAGCCTGGGAGTCCTTAACTTTTCTTGAAAGATGAGATGCCTGTGAACTCTGAGGAGGCTGACCCGTCTGTGAAAGTGAGCTCATCTGTTGGGGTTCTCCAGAGGAGCAGTAACATTTATCACTCTCCTTAGCGAGACGGGAGTAGCCCTCATATTCTGGGCTCAAAGTTCGGGATGTGTCTATTTGGATATCCTGCTGACACGTCAAACTTAACACATCGGAGAAGGAACTAATCATCTTTCATCACGACACAGGCTTCTGCTTTGCTCATCTGTGTTAATGTCATCACCATTCTACAATCACCCTAGCTCAAGACTAGAAACATGCCTTTTTTTCCCCTCCCTAATCTAATGAGATTTGAGTTCCTGTTGCTGGGGCTGCAGGGTGTGCTTCATCTCTCTCTTCCTTTCTGTTCTCCCTTCCTTGTCTTAGCTCGGGTCGCGTATCCCCTCCCGTGGACTGTTATGACCGCTGGCTAACGAGCCCCGGCCCTCCTCTTGGTCTTTCATGCGCTTGAATGAGTGATCTTAAAACAGAACTCTCGTCTCGTCTCGTCTTGGCTCCAGACTGGCTGCCCCTGCTATTGCCCCATTGGCTGAAAGGAGGATGAACGCCTGTGTCCTGGCATTCTTAGCTTTGGAGCAGCCTCAGCGCACCTTGCCAGCCTGTCTCCTGTTTCTTCTCTGTACGCTCTCTGCCTTCCAGCCCCGCCCGGCCGCTGCCTTACTGTTGCTTGAGTGTCCCTGTGCCCGGGCCGAGCTCTTTCTCCCGGGTGCCTGTCTCCTTTGACATTGCCCTCCTCCACTCGGGTGTGTGAAATCCTACACAGATCACCGCTCACTCTCCACAGGATTCTCTTCTCCTCAATTTCACGTGTCACAATTTGTGCCTTCCATTTTTCTTACATCTTGACCATTTGCGTGCAAGCTTTATTTTCCATCTTAGATTTTAAAGTCCTTGTGAGTGGGGCGTGACTAAATGGAAACTATGTACCGTGTTCTTGGATAGAAAGATTTCACATCGTAAAACTGCCACTTCTCCCAAAATTAGTACATTTAGTATGATTTATTAAAAAAAAACTCCACATAATTTCTCCTTCTTCCTTTTAAACTATCAAAGCATAGCTATTGTGGCATTTTTAGTAGTGTCAAAAGAAAAAAAATTCTGCCCCCACCCCCCTTAAAAAAATCTAGAAACAAAAAGGTGATGGACTTATAAGGGGAAAGTTTGAATAAATAACCTGTAGTACATATATAGCATGGAATACAATGTACTTATTTAAAAAAAATTGATTTGAGCTATACCACTTGTCTTGGAATGATTTCTGTTATATATTGATGAGAAGAAAGGGGATACAGAAGAGTGCTTATAATAGAACCCCCCTGATTTAAACAGACAGTAACAAGCGCCCTCTCTGCCCGTGCGTATGTGTGTATGTCTGTGTTACCTGTGCAAAGGCAATTTCCTGCAGAGCTAATGACGTGTGAATTTTGGAGACCTCCCCCACTTCCATGGGAACCTTTTTTCGGTTCATCATTTTGTATTCTTTTCTTAAAATGGGCCTCCAAATTAGGTAAGTTTTAGGTCCCCCCAAAACCTGAATCTCTGTCCTAGAGAGAAATATATGACAAAACACTAAAGCCAGTTCAGTTGAAGGTGAGATTGGGGTGGAGGTCATGGGGGGAGAAGAAGGATCGTAAGCCTCAGTGAAGAGAGAAAACCGTTGCTGTCTTACTTCTCCTTCATCTTTTTAAAACCTTTGATAGTGATGTTGAGAGTTCGTTGAAAAAGCTGTTGAAAAAGCTGAAACATAGCACAGTTTTATTCTTGCGAACCAACCAGCCAACCAAAAATCTGGAAAAAATGTGGTCACACCTTAACCTGCATAAACACCAACAGTAACAACGAGCCAGGTCATGGGAGGAGAGGAGGCAGGTGGTGAACCTTTGAAAAGCTTTCTGTCGAATGACTTCCTTTTGAGAATGATACATCCATTCTCTCACAACGCCTATGAAATAGAAACTCACAAATAGAAGTGTGATCAGCGGGTGGCAGGCATTTCCTAAATGCTGCTTAGAGAGAGTAAGTGGTTAAGTAACGGAGTTCTCTTCCCGACAATCTGTCATGTCTTGTCAGAACTTCTCCCACTTTGCTCTGCTTTGCTGAGTCTGGACATTTGGTGGACTGGTGGAGTCGCTCGATTCACATGTCTCATTAGCTCCAACAAAGTCAGTATTCCAACGAAGTTTGTAGTTTCCAAATAAAATGTTATCATTGGTAGCAGATTGGGGTCACGTAAGGCTTAGATGATAAGGCGATGGTCATGTTTAAGCTTTCTCAAAGGCACTTCTTGACTTAACCACATTTAATACATAATACGACTCAAGAAAAAGCCTAAATTAATGATGCTCCATCTCTATGTGAGATGAAAAGGGAATCATGATAAGAATTCTGCTTAAATGCTGTTAATGACAAGGGTGGCAGAACACAGGAAAAACTCTGCAAAAGAGTATATCCATCTTTTTCCTGCAATTCATGGGTCTAGAGCAGCGCTGTCCAATAGAAATACAATGAGAATCATATAGATATATATACGCTTTATAAATATAAAATTATCTATATTTTATATAGATAACATATAATACATATTTAAAATATTCTAATAGCCACATTTAGATATAGTAAAAAGAAATGATGAAATTAATTTTGATTATATATTTTATTTAATGCAATATACCAAAACTATTACTTCAACATGTTATCAGTATAAAAATTATTAATGAGGTATTTTATATGTCTAGTTTTGAATTAAACCTTTGAAACCCAGTGTGTAGTTTACACTGCAGCACATCTCAGGTTGGGCTGGCCACATTTCTGGTATTTGGTAGTCATACATAGCTGGAGGGCAGATTCTGCAAGATCAGGCTGGCCGATGAGCTATCCTAGCCCCTCAGAAGGACATGAAGCCTAGGATGAGCAGAGCAGATTGCATCTCATTGCTTCAGGTGATCTAATTGTTCACATAGGAGTTAACTTCAAGGCTCTGTTTTATTTAGAAGGCTTCAGTATCTCAGGGTCTTGCTTTATTTTCATGTGACTTATATGTAGTACATTGTATTAATTATTGATAAACAAAAGTATCTTCTCAAATATGAAATCAGATCTTTTGCCAAGCTGTTGTGGAATTGTACATTCTTCATCGTTGCCCTGATCAAACAGATAATTCTGGGAGCTATGCTGTGAAGGTCCAGTAAAGTCACTGCAAGATGGGCTAAAAGCTTCTGCTAAGAATCAGACCTTCCCAACAGGTTTTTTTTATAGTGTTCTCAAAGAGCTTGAGAACTAAGAGCAGCCACTCGTTTGAAATCTAATCTTTGATCAGTTCATTTGAAAAATGAAAACAGACCTTTTGCCCTAGGGAAAAACAATGAAGATGAAAGAGCTTGAGTATTTAGTCAAATTACGTGCCTGTAGGTGTATGAGGAACTGTGTCCTCTCTGGTGGTAAAGCTTAGTGGTTCACGCTACTACAGGACAGTGTTCTGCCTGTGAGACCCTGAAGTAGCCCCTGTACACAGAGTCTGCCGTCAGTCAACTTCTATTCTTTTTTGAGGGAACTATCCTGAACAAGCAGGACCTTGTCTAAACACCACCGGTCGTTAATGATGCTCCTCTTGAGCAGTCATTGTTCATCAAAGAGAATTTGAAGTTGGGCCTTGAGTTCCTGATTTTGGTTGTCCCCCAGACAGAACAAAAAGGGACTTACTACTGTTTACCAGAAGGCTTCTGCATTTGCCGATGTCCGCAGGTTGGCCATACACAGACGCGCTCACAGCAGCGCCCTGTTCCTAGCTGGGGGCAGGAGAGAGGGAGAGAAATGCGAAGAACCAGAGCTTCCGTGGCAGCGTTTGGGGAAGCCTCGCCAGGGAGACTTGTATTACCCCATCCAGAATTTGGCCCGTGTGATTTCAAGGAGTGGTCTTAAATACCCTTTTGGGGATCAGATGCAGCTTAAAGTTCATGTAAAATCTTCAAAAGCTAAGAAATTACTGTGACTTCTTTCTTTGATCTATTTCATATCTACCGTTATTTTTTTTTTCCTCCATAAATCACTCCTTTTTTTTTGTTTTAAGAAAAAAAGCTTTCTGTGAAATGATTTTGTCAGTATGAGGCTATTTCCCGGAATATCGAGTTCTTATTGACTTGACCCTGTGTTTTCACACGCCGGCAGACCTGGGGCCCTCCTGTGCTGCAGGTTACTTGATGGACGTGGTTAGAGCTGTGCTTGGCTTCTGCAGGCCTGATGACAGACAGACCGGTTACTGCCTGTTTGAGAGTAGAGTCAGCACAGGGCTTCCTTTTGTTGCTCCTGTCACGGCACACGTGGAAAATGTGATAATATTTGATCAGCACCCTGTGATCACAGCTCACAGCTC